CCGAACAGATATTTTACACAAAACAGCCGTGGGTGCCCCTGTATAGACTGAAAAGTGTGAACATAATTAACATAATTAACATTTTCTCATTTACTGAATATGTCAGAATACTTTAAGCTTCCTGAGTTTAACCCTGATTTATTAGATATAGCTATGGTAAAAATCTATGTAAGTTCAATGAAACAGGAATATATCTTATACAGGCAAAACACCCTTCAACATTCTCAAAAACTTGAATTTTATAGATCTTTTAAAACCGATCATACCTCCTCTAGTTACTTAGACTTAACAAGAGGAACAGCTGGGAGAAGGGCTTTAGTAAAACTACGAGTAAGCAATCACAAGCTAATGATAGAAATAGGCAGATACAATCAAACTACGAGGATAACAGGCATTGCCCTTTTTGTGGATGCAATGTAACAGAAGACGAAGTTCACTTTCCTTTTTAATATCCTACATACTCTATGATTGGGAACAAATTTTACTATAAAGTCAAGACTCTGTTTCCAAATATCATCCGGTTGCCTATAAACGTTTTGATCAATGAACTGATGAACTCTTCTAATTACGTTATCAATATACAATTCATAAAATATATTTCAGCTTGTTTTGATGTTCATGACAAATTATTATCAAAGTAACGTAATTGCCCTGTGTTCTAATTTTGATTCCTAAACATAGCTTTTGCAATACTGTATGCATTTGTATGGTCATGCAAATAAAGCTCGTTGTTGTTGTAATTAACCTAAACAATTTATGAAAATGTTAGATTAGTTGTTCACAAGTTGTTTTGGCGCTCAAACGTTTTGCTTGATCACTAAAGCATTTCAGTGATAAAATTACTACGTGTACAAGTCAAATGTATAGCAGCAAGGACTGAAACACGGAAGAAATTTCTTCGCGTATACCATTTAACAATGTTTAAAGGTTCCAAGAAACATCATTTTACATTTGTTTATATATGTATTTATCTTCCTTTTGCTGTAGCATGTGAGCAGACAGAGCTCTCTCCCCGGCTCTCTCTTGGTCGGTGGGAATAATAATAAAAAAAAACGTTCTGTCAACGCTCTGGCTCGTGAAATGTTGCCAACGTGTCGGGTGAATGTTCAAATTACTCTAAAATTCTCGAATTTATAATTTTTTTCCTCTAAAATTCTCGAGGTTTTCGAAAATTCTTTTTGATGAATTCCCTCCAAAATTCCGGAATTATGTAGCTTCTAACTTTTTTATTGGATTGGCAACTCCACGCACTGAAAAGTTTGAAGCATACATTTTAAGTTCACTGATTTTCTTTTTCGTTGAAAGACCCGCTAGAGTCGTTCTTGGTGTGCTCATTTATCTGTTTACGTGTTGAAGTATCTTTTTGACCCAGACGCCGTATTTGCACTAAGAAACGCGCAACGTTGCTATAGACGTTTTGTAATTTCACTTGTGAAAATTATGACATTATATTTAACGTTGAGATTTGGCGCCAAAATTAAAGTTTTATTTGTTCCCGAGCATTCACCGCCCACGATATTAACATAGACATAATTATATTATCACAAGAGTTGTGATTATTACTGGTGCTACTCTAACAAACTAAAGAATGCCTAGTGTTTGACACAGGAGTGGTGGTGACTATGGCTAGTTCCCGATGACAATGTCGGGTTTTTATCATCTTCTTGTGGATTGACATTCCATGTAAGTTCTGGTTGATGTGGGTTTATAAAATTCAGTTTAGCTCTTCTGCTCATAATTATCATAGGAGTTCGCCCTTAGCCATTTTGCCGTTGAACTATAACGAAGGGAAATTTTCTTAATGAGCGGAGAAGTTAAAACGCAACAGTCTCTGAATTGCTCAATGTCACGACATTCATTTTTTTTTTCGCGACTTAATTATTCACTAGCACTTAACCACCGATATGATTCACCTTCCAGAAAGTCCAAAAAATAATGATAATAACACAGCGTACGAGCTTTACCCCTTCTAATTTCTGTTAAATCGCAGTGATATATTTAACTATGATATGACGCTTAGTCAAAAATGCAAATATTTCAAGTTTTATTTAAAAAGAGGTTAGTCAATTCAGTTGCGGTGTTTTACACAGGAAATAGAACTTTTGCATTTCGATAAGATGCATGCCCTAAAATTTTAAGCTACAGTTGTTGCCGTTCTGACTGCGGAATGAATTGATAAAAAGCCCACCCTGTCAAGATGGATATCCATTACACCGCCAGGTTGAGCCAGGACAAACATAGTGGCAACATGGCCAATTTAACTAGTGAGTGGTTTTGTTACGCATGTATACCGGGATCGTGTCTTGTTTGTTCCTTTGGTTTTACATGGCACCTCATCGAAAAGAACAACAATTCACAGGTACAAAAAGACAGCGAAATTCTTGAAATTTCTAGACAAATTTAAGTTATTAAAACAGCGCATCTTATGCCTTTAGAAGGATCCCAGAGGCTGCCCTTTTAGAGAAAATAAGCCGCTGCTGACATAAGACGCGAACACCCCGCATGAATGGTACAAAATCTACTTTGGTAGCTTATTCAACCCACGGCTAGCTCAAGCGAAGGCTTATCCTGACCGAGGAGTTTTGGACTGCGCTGATCCGAGCCTCGACTTACCAGGGACGTGAAAGTCTTCGTATAATGCATCAGTCAATTCCAGCTGCGCCTGCCCCTCATCCCCGTGCTGCCCCCGGACATAAGCATTTTTTTTGCCTTGCGTGGCAAATTCCCGGGGGATGGAGACTCTTGAGCTGTCCAATCCCCTGGGGTGGAAAAAAAAAAAGAGGGCAAATGCCCCGGCCTCCATCAACACTGCAACATTTTTCATTGATCGCACGGTCGAGTGGTACCATTTTAAGCATTTTAATGTGCGATTTGTTTTAATTAACGTCTGCCTTTGTAATAGCGCTATGCTAATTAAGACTTCACGCTACGATGACACCAATTTATTATTTTACGGTATTGTTATAAAATTTCTGACAATAGAATTAATAACGAGCTGTAAAGTTATCTGTTCTGAATAGTTTTTTACTGATATGAGGGGGAATCAACAGAAACTTGATTCAATAACTAAAAGAAACGTCGATTCACGTCGGTAGCTCCCGATTTCGCTATGTAATTCTAGCTTGATAAGTAAAGAAGAAATGCATGCATAAAATGCCTTACAACCGCCTACAATTTTTTCCCAACCTTGATAGATGAGCCAATCTGCCCGTTTTTCCAGTAAAATCCTCTGTGTAGTTATATTTGGTTAGGAAATCACGTGCGTGTTAAAAGCTCGGGTGTGGCCACGGGGTTGGCAAATGCAAGACCCTCGGGCACCCCAAAATTTGCTCACTAACGCCCCACCCTGGGACCGACAAGGCGGGCAAATAGCCCGCAGTAGCCCGAGGGGGCGGGGGCTGGACTGATGCTTAATGCCAATGCGCTCAAACGTTGTCGGCGCATGCTCTGTTTTCAATTATCTCCCAGTCCTCCACGGCCGAGTGACGCGCTCCACAGTGGCGGGAAAATGACGTGTTGCACGAGAGAGCCGAAAATTTCGCCTAAACTCCACTTCATCCATCGCCAGAACATCTTCAAACCACTCGATTGATTGCTTACGAACTTTTCGTCGAGGTTTTCGCACAGGTTTCACTAATCTTGAACGAAATGTTAATTTGAAACGAAAAAGACAGGATAAAATATGATGATTTTCCTGACCAAAGCGAGTCGTTTTGCTTTTTAATTTTGCTCGTGTCGCTAATTACGCGAGGCACCAAAACAAACTACGTCATCATTGGGCCGGACGGACCGCAAAACTAAGCCGTGAAACCATTAAAACGAGCACTTCGCGTCTTATGTAAACCACACTCATATAAATTGTACCTTTCGCTTCTTACGTTATCCGCGGCTTATTTTCTCTCGTATAAACGGCCCTAATACAAATAATTCACCAAAGCCGCGTTTTTGGTTCAGGCAGTCAAACTTGTTTTTATACTTTTAAAGTGATCGAATTTTCTCTCTGATTTCTTTTGGAATTAAACAATACCTGTCATTTAACAATTAGTTCATGCGTCAGCGTGCGTATGTCGAGATATTGAGCACGCTTATGTTTTTATCCTGAAACTGAGGAAAGTTTAAAATCTATATTTAGGTGCCGGAAAACTACGAAAAAGGCGAAAACAACTTTGCAAAGAAGGTAACCGCGGAGATGACAACAACAACTGAACAACGTGCACCCTTAAATTTCCTTATAAAAAACACACTTTTGGACATTTCTTTGCCGTTGTTTTGCACCACTCGATAATAAATAGAGCGTGAAACAAAATATAATTTCGTGTAATGCTGAAGAATCGGTGAAGACAACGAGGACGGTGAAAAAACTTCCTAGTTACATGTTTTATGGAGAAAATGTTGTATGTGTTCCTGTTCACTTATTTTTGACTTTCATTTTCACCTTAGTGGCTGCAAGCATTTCTCATTTGCACCGCCGCTATAAAATTTTCATGCTTTTGTTCCAACGAAATTGGTCTCCGTTTTTTGTTATTTCTCGCTCTAGCTTTTTCTCTGTTTTCGACGTTAATATAGACATTAAAATTTAGTCGAAAGAAAAACTTGGCTTTGTTGTTTTATTTTTCCCTCTTAAAGTCCGAATGGCCATGTGATTTACCGCCGAAACGTGTAGGGTGCTTGAAATGCAATATTTCATCCCAGCTTACATGAAGTGGTAGACGTACGGGCGGACGATTTTGTCAGAACCAAAATTTCTTGGATGAATAAATGACCAGATTTTCTTACTCATAGTGCTCCGCTACCCGCACTTCGCGGGCACGGGAGCTCCGCTGTAATGCTTGAAAGTATTTTTGAAATCCTTGTAGTGGACAAATAATGTAACTTTATATGCAATCTTCCATCTGGCTAAAACGCGACGAAATTATTTGAATGTTTCTATCTCTGACTCTCTTTCCCTTTATTCAGCTTAATATCTTGCCTTGGCATGGGTTTATAAAGTCAGTTCAAAGATGGCTGAAAAACCTGGTTACGAAAGTCTACAACAGATGAAATTAAGCGAGAACCCCAAAGAAGCCGCAAATGTTTTGTCCGTCCTCTCATTCTCTTGGATGAATAACGTTTTTGCGGTTGGTAATAGACGTCCTCTCGAGAACGATGACCTTTTGCCTTTAATCAACGAAGACAAAACTCAAACTTGTACCAAAAAATTAATACAAGCGTGGAACGCAGAGAGCGAGAAGCGTGGAAATCTAAAGAAGCATTTGTTGTTCAGATCTTTGGTTAGCATGTTTCCCTGGACTGATTATGCGTTCTTGTCAATAACTGCTTTTATGGTTGGTGTGCTAAATTCTCTACAGCCAGTGTTCTTGAGTTTCCTGTTACCTGAGTTGATATCTCTCTCGCCTGAAGGGAAATCCCGGGCTTTTCTTTACGCCGCTGGGATCTGTTTTGCTTTATTTGTAAGAATACTAGCTGGACAACAGTACGCCTACAGGAGTTCATTGCTGTCGATTCGGTGGAAGTCAGCAACTATGGGAATGCTCTTTCAAAAGGTATAACTAGATATTAAACTGAGCAATTTCGCAACGCTTTGGCCTCCATTGACGCTGTATCACCGAGCAAGACAAGTTGCACGTGACCTTCGGTTGCGTAAAAGCTCCTGCAAATTTGCCTCTCTTCTCTTACGATGCGTCAAAGAATTTGCTGCAGCGCTGCCGTAATCTTTAGGATTTCGCTTGCTTCGTGGAACGCCTCTTCTGTAAAGAAAACGTTGCAAAGCATGTTAATTCCGATTCAGGGAGAGTTATTCTTGTTAAGGTTTAGTGCAACTTGTCTTCTAACAAAATTGAGAGAAAAATTGGAAGAAAAAATGGCTAGTGTGAACAGGGCTTGTACTGGATACATGTGGTTTGCTCCGAGATTCGATTGGCTTATGTTTAGATTGTGCGTGAGATTGGGTGGATGAGTATCCAATTGCACCATGGGACTGTCTTGAGAGAGGAATAGAAGTGTGACGTCACGTTACCTTGGCAGCAAAATTTCGGGATCACAACAATGGGAAATTAAGCAACGACGACGGTGACGGCAATGAAAACGGCAAAAAAGCAACAACTTTGCACGTGCATCTCGCTTTTTTGTACATTTCTTAGCCTTCGCTGCAAGACCGTCACATGAAACTTCCTAATTTCACGCGCCCGCTTTATGGAGTATACAACACAAAATTTTTCTCTTTCATTTTTTTACCTTAGATACGGTCCTTTCGGATTCAACCCCAGAAAGTTTCGCAAACATTTTGACAAATTAAATGAAATTGAAGAAGATCGATGAAGTTTGAAACAGTGCGAATTCAATTTTTAAGTGACTTTTTTGGTTTGTTGTCGTCCAGAAATTTTGCTACCATGGCAACGTGACGCAACGACTTCTCCTCTCTCTAAAGGAACCCACAGAATTCCCAAAACAGTCTCATAGTGCAGTTCGTCACCTACCCAGTCTAGGAGAAAATTGGTCAAGTTCTGGGCAGTTTTGTTTCAAAATGGAATGAACAAGACACTCGAAATTTGCCATATGCTCAGATCCTTCATTCACCCTGCAAGCAAAGGCCCTTCGTTTTCCAGCAGCTTATTAAGGAGATACGTATGCACCCAAAACATATAGAGCGTTTTCACATGACGTCACGGCGGCCATATTGGTGTTCCAGAACAATCAAAGGGCGGCCATGTTGGTGTTCCAAACCAATCCTTTGGGAGTTAAACGCTTTCTTTTGTTCCAATAACTCTGCATAGATGCTGTCCACTTGAGTGAAAACGCTCTAAACAGGGATGAAGAAGAACGCCCTTCAGATTTAGACTTGAGCATTGCGCAGAAGCCCAAGTAATGAATATTGTATATTACTGAGGGTTTTTTGACAAACCTGACGAGCAGTGATATGGACGAAACAGCTGTATATAGCCAGCACAGCAGCAGAGATAAGGTTGTCCGTATGTAAAAGTGTAAGTTACTAACATAATGAGTCGTTTCTGTTTTTCCTTTTTTCTGAAGGTTTTGCATCTCAGACAGGTGGATTTGGCAGCGTTTACAAGTGGTTACATATTGGATCTTGTTTGTGGTGATCTACAGCGCATCGATAAATCGTTTATAAGCTTCATGCACCTGATAGAAGGTATCACTGGAACGTTGTTTTTGTCGTTATTCACTTGGTATTTGTTCGGCTGGAAGCCTTTGACGTGCCTGACGTTCGTGTTGTGCCTAGTTGCCTTTTACAGTGTAATGGGTAGCCTGTGCTGCAGGCTTCGTTCACGAATTGCTGCTATCACCGATGATCGTCTTCGAATAATGAATTCTGTTATTTCTGGGATTCGGGCAGTAAAGATGTACGCTTGGGAATGGATGTTTGGAGAAAGAGTGAAGAACATACGAAGGTAATACCTTAACAAATCTGGTATTCTTCTATGTGAAAGTTGGATTTAAACATGCAATGCAAAAATATACTTAGAACTGATACTCGCCCTCTCAGTCCCCACTCTTCAGAGAAGTTACTGTCTTGTGAAAGCACAGTAAAAAACGCGTCAAAGATAAGAGAAGATTTGGTGTGTCGAATGATCGATAGGTAACCTTTTGCAGGGAGACCAAAGAAAGCTGCTGTAGATATCTTGGCTGAATCTTTTTTTCTCTCTTATCTGGTGAGATCCAAGTTACGGCTCAGTATGAAAATGACATACACAGACTAACTTGTGTCCAGAAATACAAGCAACTCGGAAATTTGGTTACTTCATTTTAGACAAAATTATTTGTAATTTCCATGTTAGACAAAATTGCTTGTGTCTAACTGAGGATCAGGGCTAGGGGACACTTAGTCATGTCCTGCAAACAAGCCCACACTCAGCTCATCTTTCAGCTGCATCTTAGTTTATAATTGCCGCGGCGCTTTTCAAGTAAATAGATGCTCGCGTTTCTAATAATCTACAAAAATTCTCTTCCTTAAAAGAAAATATTCATCCCTTTAACGCAAAATCTATCTCTTGTCTCAAGGAAGAGACTCTTTTAATATATAATTTAACGTCAACTCTTTTTTTAAACCAACAGCTCTGAAATGGAGTTGATACGCTGGAAGAGCGCCATACTTGCTTGTAATGCTTCATTACTCTATACAGTAAGACCAATAACCATTCTCATCTCCCTGGTAACGTTAGTTGCTACAGGAACACCACTTTCTACATATAACACGTTCATAATTTTATCAGTTATAAGCGTATGGAGAGTTGCTATTTGTTGGAGTATACCACAGCCTTCGATTGCCCTGGCTGATTTTTTTGCCGGGCTTGAACGAATTCAACATTTCTTGGAATTCCATGAAACAAGGTCTCATGAAAAACTTCAAACAACCTTTTCAAAGAGGCAACCAAGCAAGGAAATTGTTAATGACTTCCATTTGATTAATGGCTGTCTGATTCAAGACGACAAAAATAGCAAAGGTGACAGTCATATCGACACCTCTCATGAACGAAACAACAAAATTAGGCAAATAACCACTTTAGATGGAGACAAAAGCGTAACACTACATGACGTACAATGCTCTTGGAATAGCAGTAAAGTTTACCCCGTCTTAAAGTCCGTGAGTCTGTCAATAAAAGGTGGGGATTTAGTTTTCATCACCGGCCACGTGGGATGCGGAAAGTCTTCACTGCTCTACGCCATCCTAAAGGAATTACCACCCTTCAGTGGTCGAGTATCATGTAATGGAAAGATCGCCTATGTTGGTCAGCAACCCTGGGTATTCTCTGGCACGGTACGAGATAACATTCTGTTTGGTCAGACATTTGACTCGGTCAGATACAACATGGTACTGGAGTCATGTGACCTGCACGAGGACATACAAAGATTCCCGGATGGAGATATGACTGGAATTGGTCAACACGGTGTTATGCTAAGTGGAGGCCAACGCGCCCGCGTGGCCCTTGCTCGTGCATTGTACGCCAACGCAGATATTTATCTGTTAGATGATCCTTTAAGCGCTATTGACGCTAAAGTTGGGAGATACATTTTTGAAAAGTGTATTCTTGGCGCGCTCGGTGATAAAACCCGTTTGATGGTTACACACACTCTTCAGCTATTAGAAGGAGCGGATCGTGTAGTTTTGATGAAAGAGGGCTCCGTTATTACGGAAGGGAGTTACGAAAATCTCTTGAAAGAAGGGCACAAGTTGCAATGGCAAGAAACGGGTAGCCTTAAGGGAGCAGAAAGTAGCAAACGTGCAGTTATCGGTTCGCATGTGACAGAAGATGTAAAGTCGTCTGGCTTAGAATCAGATGAAGATCGATTGATTGGTACGGTGTCCTGGAAATATTACTGGAGGTACCTGAGAGCTGGACTTGATCTCAAGTCTCTTGTTGCTCTGTCCCTTTTTTGTATCCTTGCTCAAGGTAGGTCACGACCATAACCCGTTTTAGTCCAAGATATTTTATTTTCTTTTTCCCAATGAGACGTCGGAGACGCTGATTCAAAATTCATTCTCGAGCGATCGGAGGGCTTTTATTCGGGACTCCACAGGTATAGTTAAAATAAGTCCCTCAAAGACAGTTAGCAAACAGTGGAAAGTTTTTAAATGTAATACATATACAGCTGAATCAAAATTTAAAAAGGTCGCTTTGGTCATTGGTTATTAGGCATTGGGCATTTGGGCATATGGAACAAGGCAATGATTTACCTGAGTGACCACCAAATAATAGCTTCCCAATGCGCAATTCCCAACGCCCAAAGCAACCTTATTGAATCAGATTTATATAGCTAAGACTTCAGCCACCATAAATGTTTGACTCACATGGCTTTGTATTGCAATCTCTTAAACAGGCTCACTCATAGTCCCCGATTGGTGGCTACTGCAAATCACGAGGAAATCACAAGATCAAAAGAAGCAGCTAGACAGCTTTTACATTTTCGCAGGACTCGTAGGAGGAGCGTTTTTTCTGTCAATCTCACGAGCGGCCGTCCTCTTTGTCGCGCTATTAAACTCTTCTGCAAATCTACACGACTCTATGCTGCAAGCTGTTCTAAAAGCTCCCGTCTTTTTCTTTGATACAAACCCGTCAGGAAGAATATTGAACAGATTTTCAAGGGACATTGGGCTTATGGATGAACTGTTGCCAGACGTGTTTGTAGATTCTACTCAACTCATTTTGTTCTGCGTTGGTTCGGTTGTTCTCCTTTCCGTTCTTAACCTCTGGGTTTTGGTGGGGGCCACCCCACTTATAGCCATGTTTATTTTGATTGGCAATTATTACATGAAGACGTCACGTGAGTTAAAGCGGCTTGAAGCTCTCAACAGGAGTTCAGTTATCTCTCACTTTTCTGATACCCTGGAGGGACTGGTGACTATTCGCGCTTTTGAGAGGGAAGGCGCTTTTATGGAAGAGTTGTTCAGGTTTGTTCTTGGCGCTTATTAAAATCTTCAAAAAGCATTAATGATGTAAAAAAGGAATAAATATTTAACAAACCCTTTAATTAAATCTACACCTAGCAGAACACTCCGCTCTACCAACAAGTGATTGCAAGTAGTCCCTAAGTATAATCTTGAGTCCTATGGAAAGCGCGCTTTTTCAATCATTGCCCCTCACTCTGGAACAATTTACCAGACCAAATAAGAACTACAGAAAGCTTGAGTTCTTTTAAAAATAGAGTTAAGACCTTTTTATTTAGCCGTTCCTTTTAGATTTTTCTTACGTTTTTATGATGTAGTTCTATATATATATATATATATATGTTTTTTTTTTTTTGTTTAAGTAACCCTGTTAAGCGTCATTGGTTATCGAGTGAAATGGCGCCATATAAATAACTTGTTACTATTATTATTATGAAAAGGAAGGAAAAAACAAAAATTTGCCAAGATTATCTTTGACTGTTTTCTTTTCAGATGTCAAGACAGCCACAATCAAGCGTGGTTCATGATTCTCTCTGGAGTTCGTTGGCTCGGATTTCGCCTTGACATGCTGTGCTTTTTTCTCGTTACTTTGGTTCTGTTTGGGCAGCTGATAATGGAGTCTGAGCCAGGTGAAGTTTGCACGCTTTGCGGACCTCTCTTTTTTCCGGTAATTTTGCTATTAAGGGTTTAATATTTGGGGAAAAATCTCGATCCCGAGTTCGCTTTTCTTTCGAACATCGAAGTGCTGACCGCAAAAAAAGGGGTTTTAGATTCATTGTGCCAAGGACCTAATTTTATGACCAGATCAGAAAGCGCGTGAGTTTGCCGACTTGTCTCCACTTTAGAGAAAACGAGATTTAGAAATAGACTGCTTCCAATCCGGCTATAACTGACTCAGGGAGTCAAGAAGCTTCCTTAGAACAGATGTTAGCAATTATTTTGAATTAAATGTCTTGTTTTTGGCCTTTCTCCATTAGGCGTAACCGCTTTGTCACTGGTGTACACGCTTCAGCTGGTTGTAGACACGTCACAGTTTGGAGTCATTCAGTGCTCTGAAGTGGAAAGTTTTATGACGTCAGTGGAACGCGTTGTGACGTACACCGAGATTGAGCAGGAGCCTGGATACCAGATCCAGCGCCGGCCCTCACGTGAATGGCCCGACAGAGGGGAAATACAATTTCGAGGCGTCAGCCTTGTCTACTACCAGGGTGGGCCCGAGGTGTTGAGAAAGCTCAGTTTTACTGTTCATGCGGAAGAGAAGGTAGCAATTGCTGGCCGCACGGGAGCAGGGAAGTCCTCCATTGTTGCCGCGCTTTTTCGCATGCCTGAGGCAACAGGTGAAATCATCATTGATGACGTCAGCATCAACAGCATCTGCCTCCAAAGTTCACGTCGAGGGATTTCAGTTATTACCCAAGATCCTATTCTATTTACCGGCTCACTGCGCATGAATTTGGACCCCTTTTACGAGTACGGAGACAATGAATTATGGGATGCACTGGAAGAAGCGAGTCTAACAGCCATGGTGCAAAAGTTACCATGGAAACTAAGCGAGGAAGTAAGGGAAGGCGGAATCAACTTCAGTGTTGGAGAAAGACAACTTCTATGTCTGGCCCGCGCATTACTGAAGAAAAGCAGGATTATTGTCATGGACGAAGCAACAGCAAACGTCGATTACGAAACAGATCGAGTTATTCAAGAAACCATACGAGCAAAGTTCAAACAATGTACGGTTATCACGATCGCTCACCGACTAAACACTATCAAAGATTACGACCGAGTGTTGGTTCTCGATGACGGAGGTATTTTAGGTTTTGACAGACCTGAAAACTTACTGGAAAAAAATAGTTACCTCTTTTAA